AAAAAAAACATTCTTTATCTTTATTTTATAAATAATCAGTTTCATTTCCCCCCCCTTCAGGGCTTTCAACCTTATCTTTTGTTTATCACCGCTGTCAGACAGACAATCTGCTCATTAATGGACGCAACCAAACCAGTTTGTGTGACTAACATTAGATCACTGTAGATCACGCCCACTTATTGCCCACTTCCTGTAGATCAGGCCCTCTGGTCACCAGGACCATGACTCGGAGCTTCTCGCCTCCTTGACTTAGCGAGGAAAAGCTAATTCTGATTGACGGTTCTGGTTCCAGGCCTCTGGATGAGTCTATTAAACCTGTTGGACCTGATGGTTGATGTGGTCAGCAGGATATGGGGCTCTATGATCTGCCCAGAGCAGCCGGCAGCCTCTGTCACCATGCAGCTCCAACACGTGCTTGTGCAATGGAAGCCGTGTGCAGACAGAGAGCAGCGCAGATGTAAAGTGATTATGAGGAGTTCAGACCCCAGTGAGTCACTGCTGTAGATTAGGTTGATAAGTCAGGAGCTCCTGAAAGTGGCTCAGACAGATTAAGGCGCGGTCGCTCTGCATAAATATGTCTTAGTCCAACAGGTAAAAACATTTTACTTTCATGCCCAGATCCTCCTGCTTCACCTGCAGGTGAGACTGTCAGCTGTACCAGTTTTCCGCCACCGGGAGCAGTACAGTAAACCCAGCCAGTGTGTGGTTATCCAGCTAGGAACCTGCCGGTGGTCTCAGGAACTAACTGCAGTTGCTCAGGCCTGCTGTAGTTCTCCTCTCAGTGTTTAACGGGGAACCTTTATGGTGTCCAGCTAAGCTTCTGACGGGATTAAAGCTCTATAGAGCTTTTTCTTTATGATTCAACACAACTTCTCCTAGTTTAAAATCACACTTCCTCCCAAACGGCTCAGTGTCCCTAAAACCAATGAACCAATAAACAAAAGGAAGCGTGATACGACTCTAGTGATCCTCTGAAGCCTCACAGAGGACAACAGCTTGGGTTCAGGCAGATGGAGACAAACAAACATGATGTGGACCTTTGCAGTGAGTCAGTTGCCCTGCAGCGGCTCACGTTCCTCCCAGACAGATTATCAAAGGTATTAGTTCAGATCCAAAGAGGTGAAAGGGCGCCTGAGGCGCTGCACAAACAGAATGGAAAACCTGAATGCCCGCCTGCTGCTGCTGCTCACATTAGACAGACTGAAGCCAAAGAACCAAATGATTAAAGTTCCTACAGAACAAACCGACCGATCAAAGACCGACAGTAAAGCCGCCGCTGGACGATCCGTAACCAAACACTGAACTCTAGTCCACAGAACTAGGGAAACCCGGTCCTACCGGATTCAACATCCAGGGAGTACTTGTCGATGGCCAGGTTCATGGTGTGGTAGGCTGTGTTAGCAAAGTCCTCCAGGATCAGGTAGATGATGTTGGTCACCTCTTGGGGAACTGGTTTACCAAAACGCATCCTGCTGTTTACCACAATGCTGCCGTTTCTGAAGTTGAGGATCTCCAGGTTTTGGAAGTTGTTCAGATTGGACTGGAGGTATGGAACAAGCTGTTTGGTGAAGAAAACAACAAGTTATTAAATGAAAATGTTCACTGGAAACTTCTTCTCTAACTTCTCACCAGTTGAAGGAACCGTTGCTCTAGAGTTTTATACTCAGATGAGCTTTTGTTGAAGAGGTCCATGGAGAAGGCCATGTTGGTCACCCTCAGGCTGAAGAAGACTGTCAGAGCTCTGCCGGGTCTGGCAGGTAGAAGGTCTGAGCCATGAGCTTCACTGGAGAAGCCACTGCTTTCCCCATCCGCCTCCCCAGTGCCGTACTGGAACACATCGATGCTGACATCAATGCTGGGCAGGTGTTGGAAAGGCTGGAGGTCCACCATAGAAGAAGTCTCATTGATTTTGGGCTGAGATGGAAGGACGGCGCCTACTTCTTCTCTGGAAGGTTCTACTGCCTCTCGAGAATATTCCTCTTCCTCCTGTAAAGATGTTGCTTCTCCAGAAGGTTCCGTCTCCCTAGAAAGTTCTGGTTTTCCCTCAGATGGTTCTTCCAGCCCTACTGGAGGATCAGTTCCTCTATGTGAAGATTCCTCCACTTTCTCCCCCTTCTGAGCTGCATCTCCTTGTTCCGCAGGCTCTACTTCTCCTCCAGAAGGTCCAACATCTCCTCTGGAAGGTTCTGTGTTTCTTCCTGAAGTTGTTTCTCCAAAATGTCCCAATTCTATTTCTGAAGGCAATATTTTTACTTCTGGAGGACCAAGTTCTCCTAAAGATTCTTCTTCTTCGCTCCCAAATCCTTCCATGGTTCCTGGTGAGGGTTTGACCTCAGCTCCCAGCGTCACCTCTTTAGGTCCAGAGGTGTCTCCTTCCGTTCCTGGAGTAGACTCTTCCACAGACGAAGGCGTCTCTTCAACGTCTCTTTGGTTAGATTCATCTTCATGGTTTTCTCTCCGTCTTAAAGAGTCTAGATCCTCCTGAGGTCGTTTTTCTCCATTAGAAGTTTCAGCTTTTTCTCTCAATGTTTCAGTTTTCATTTCTGAGGATTCTTTCTTGGATTCATTCGGTTTGATGTGAACTTCTAGAGCGTGAGCCTCCTCCAGAGGTCCAGCTTTGTCTGTCAGAGGTTCTGTTTCAGCTTGTAACCCTCCAGAAGATTCTATTTCCTGATCCAAAGGTTTTACTAATTCTCCAATAGGTTCAGTTTTCTCTGCTTCCTCCCAGGTAGGTTCTGCTTTAGCAGCCAGAACGTCTTCTAGGGTTGTTCCCGGGTGTAGGTCTGGAGATGAAGGCCCCCCCCCAGAATCAGCTGCAGCTGTTGTTTTAATAAGCACACCCACTAATGTTGACTCTTCAGTGACCTCCTCCTGGTTTGGAAGCTGGTGGGGAAACAGATCTTCATCTTCTGGTACTGAATCAGACACTCGAGTGAAAGGAGACTCCCTCTCAGGTGAGATTACGCTGCTGGGCTTTGAGGCTGCAGCTGAACTTGGGATTAGGGTTGCTGAGGTTGCTGTGACGACGATGACTTCATCCACAACCAGGTCCTGGTCTAGGGTTTGGGTTGAAGGGACTTCAGGTTTTAGGTGAGCAGAGTCTAAACTCTGCTCACCTAAAATCTCCATCCCCTTTGGGTCCGATGCTTCAACCAGGACTTCCAGCTCTGCTGGTTTAGGAGTGACTTCCCTGACTGCTACTACTTGCTCTTCAACAGACGGTGCAGCTGCAGTTTGGCTCTCTGCTAAATCACCTTCAGTCTTCATGTCTGGAGTGACCTGGGTTTGTTCCAGGTCAACCATAAAATCCACCAAAGTCTCTGACTCTCTGTGGGTTTGCTCCACCTTTGCAGTGGACTGTGGATGCTGGATGGTAGAACCTGCAGGTTCAGGAGAAGCAGTGATGATTACTGAGAAGGTCTGTGGCTCCAGCAGAGAGGAATCCCCATGGAGACCAGATGCTTCCACTGTTTGCCCAGAAAGCTCTGCTGTCATGGTTTCCTGAGTTAAGGCTAAAGGAACCGGAGCTGTGGTCCAGCCCTGCGTCACCACAGCTTCCTTCAGAGAAGGTTTCTCTGTGGGTTTATTCAAAGCAGATTCTTCAGAGGTGGTCGACGCTAAAACAGCAGTTTCATGCGTTAGAAACAAATCAGCAGCTTCCGTGTTTGCTGGTTCCACAGCAGGTAAGTCATCGTCTGGATCCAGTTCCAAGTCTGGTGGCGGTAAAACTTCATGACTTCTTTCATAAGTGACATCGGACGCTGATGAAGCCTCCAAAGCCCAGAGGTAAGAATCCTGAGCGTCTCCTGAGAATCCAGACCCAGAGCCGTGATCCAATGTGGGCGATTCAGCTAAAGGTGGCCTGCTGACTGCAGGGGGACCTTCTGGAGCAACCGTCTGGTCTTCCAGCTGCTGGTCATCTGCAGCGTGGGGGGTGGTGGTGAGGAGGAATCCTTCATCTTCAATGTTTCCAGTATCTGTAAAGCAGACAAACATGGAATCCATCAACTTCATATTCAGGCCTCTATGAGCTGTAAAGACCTGAATTTGATCTACGCAAAACATGGCGGCTCTGCCCCTTTTCTAGATCTATAGATCTAGACATGCTGTTCCCACCTTCTACAGACTCACTGAATTTAGTCACTGGCTCCAGGTGGACTGTCTTCTCCTGGACTCCGGCGGTCTGTAGAGGGGTGGTGCTTTCATCCAATAAGAAGACGTCATTTTCACTGAGCAGCGCAGGCTGTGGACCTTTCCACTGGTCCAAGGCATCCAACAAGAAGTCTTCCTTTTTCAGGAAAACTTCACTGGACTCTGCCTCATGGGTGGGAGCATCGGGAGGCTTCTCTGCAGCCAGGATGTTATCCTGAAAAGATTCAGCTTCTGTAACCTGAGTTCATCGTCACCATAGTTCAATATGTTCTACTCACCATGTTCTCATAGGAATCCGCTGGTTTGCTGGTAGGTTTCTCAGCCGGCGCCACGTTCCCTGCTTCAGAGACACAATCATTTCGCATTGAGGAAAGAAGCAAAGACAAAGCTGTGAAATATTGACCAAAGAGCCACAGCACCATTTCCCAGGAAGTCCAAGCTGCTGTTGGTTAGGAAGTTGTCTTTGTGCAGCGCCTCTGTGATGAAGTTACGGAAATCTGTGATGGTGTAGATGACGGTGGGCTGCTCCGCAGCTCCCACATAGTTCCTCTCCACCAGGTTGTTCTGCAGCGTGATGAAGTCTCGCGTGTCGCTTGAGATCCCGTCACTGTCCAGTTCCACCTCCAAAATAACAGCATAGTGCACCTGGACCACCAGACCTCTGAGGGGAGGCGAGGACACAAAGCATCCAACCAATCAGAACTTAGGAAGACAAAATGCTTCATGTGGAATTAAAGTTAGGAGAAAGCTGGACGTGCATCAATCAGCATGTCTGGACGTGCAGACAGGAAAGCAACTAGTTAGCTGGTTAGTCAGTCCTACCTTACATTACAAACTTTGCTTCCTCACTCACCAGTGCATACATGGAACTGCCCCGGCTTACCTCAAGGAACTCCTCACACCGCCTCCAGAACCCTCCGCTCCACCACCTCCACCCACCGACTGCACCAGCCAAGAGTCAAGCTCTCCACAACTCTGGAATGGCCTCCCAGAGTCCCTTAGGGTCCCACAG